ACAGTTTTAAGTTGCATTTTGATATGAGAGGATACTGAAAAAAAAAATGTTTTAGGCGTATTGAGGAGTTTTGAACTCCAGGGGTTCATCAACTAGTTTATCTAACTTCACGTTTCTTCCATGTGAGGACCATAGGAACTAATAAAAGAGAAACAAAAGGATGGTGATTTTTATCTCCAGAAATCAAAATGAGTTTGAGTCTTAGCTTATATAGGGATTAGGGCTGTTTGGCAGGAATTTTAAAATTTCAAAAGCTGGTTCCAAACTAAAGTTATTTTTGAACATGTTTAGATAAGTTTTTGAAAGTCCTCTCTCTCTTTACAATAGCTTTTGAAGGAAGTTGACTTGATATAACTTTTACATGAAGGTTTTCTACAAGTTGAAGTTGTTCCAATTGCACTCATAGTTTCTCAATACTTGTTTTCGAATGTATAGTTCTTGATATTTCAAAAAATGGGCAATGGTATGAAGAATTCAAGATCGGATATGGAGAGTAATTGCAAAGTTGGTTTCCAACTTTTTCTTCTTATTTTTGGTGCGTATTGAATTCTCTCCAAGGGTTTTTTTTTATGATGGTCAATACACTCTTGTAACAAAGGTTGTGTTTATTTTGCATAATCTCTTGAACATTTCCAACTGTCCATTATAAAATTTTAGTACACAAAGGGTTTATGTTTATTTAGAATAGTATTCGACTATGTTTGGATGGAGTTTATAAGTAACTTATAAGTTGAGATTTGAAAAGTGAAAGTATGGGTACATTTCCAAAACCCATCTATGAATGCTCCACCCATACATGTTATATTCATCTATACGATCCAACTCTTCCAAAAAAATATATAAGTACATAATACACTATGTTGGTGATGCATTTTTGAACATAAATATCCCTTTTTGTGAGTATGAAATAAGATATGTTGTTAAAATTCAAGAGAAATCTTGATCCCGGTTCAGTTTAATTAACAAACCAAACACTAATCGAGGAGGTTCCGATCCACAACTTTAACACTCCGGTTGCCATTAGTTTTCACCCCCATAAAGGAGGAATATGATGGTAGCAACATCACAAAGGAAGGAAGAAAAGAGACGCAATGATTGAACACTCAAACGAGCCACTAAGAGCGACTACCTCACCATTTCTTCTCTACTACGCGAGCGCGCGCGCGCGCACACACACACACACCACACGGCTATATATAGCCTATGTTTGGTCCGGATTAAAATCTGATTTTAATCTAAATCAAGTCAAACAATCAATATTAACCACATATTTCATGGGTCCCACAACTTTTCAATCACAGATTTCAAAAATTTCTATTAAAATCTACTAAAAATTTAATTTTAATCCCTACCAAATATAGGCCAAGTCAAGTTGACGAACCAAAGTATTGGGCCTCCAATAAAAGGGGCAATATTAAGAATAAATGGGCCAACTAATATCACCATCCAACTCAATAACTTGGGTCATCCATGAGTGTTGGGGCATGAGCAACATTAACTTCATTAAGTTGCTTTTAGTGGCCTCAAATTGTTTTCGAGTCGAGCCATCATTAAAGTGTCGATATAAATTATTCAACATCGATTTAACATCATCGTCCGGATTCATTAAATATCAAAACCCAACAAATCTCCATCTCGATATCCAATCAAAACACAAAGTTAATATTTACATAATCAAGATAACCAATAAAATTTGGATTACAGAGCTTACCTCGTGTTTTGGACTCGAAACACATAACATACTTGCTTCATATGCTCACGAGGGCTAAGGTCAAAAAACATCCAAATAGAAGCAGCTAATAACAGTAAAAATCAAGAACAAATAAACATGGGATAAATATATAACATAGGATATCACACAGATCTTTTTAAAAATTCACGTTCATACAGAATAACAGATTAACACCAAGTTAATAAAACACATAGCCAACACATGCAACAAATATATAATTGACCCTACGAAAAGATCTCACCAAACTTATCTTATCCTATTCCGTGTTGCTCATTCCTTGAGAACAAATATATTCTCTCATCGTCTTCCATGTTCACTAGACTGATCACTCAACACATGTCTAACTGGTAAATCACAATAAATCCCCAAGTCCACAGGGTAATCATCTATCACCATATCACTTCTTCCACTTTACGTAGATAATGGGTTATCACCTAACAGAAGTGATAGAAGTGTCTCTCTCACACTTTACATGTACAGGGTCTTCATAGATAAATAATTCTAACATTTAATCACCTCTTTACTCGTGATCCAAATGTCATACTCGACATCCCCGTGCATATCACAAATGCACCTTCAAGTATCTATACTCCACATTACCAATAGATATCTTCACACTCAAACTTACTATAACAAGAGCTTGTTTGGGAATGATTAAAATCCAATTAAAATTGAAAATATAGCCGTTATTGGGTCACACTTGTCTAATAAAAGTCAACTCCAACAACTATATTTTCAATTTTAATATGATTTTAATCCCTCCCAAACAAGCTCCAAATCAACACCTTTAGCGATCACAAAGGTTATGGCTCAATTTAAATTTACCCATGCACCGTAAGGTTATTCCAACACCAATGCTCAACAAATCCGCAAAGGAATTGGGTGAAGGTGACACTCAAAGAGAATAGAAAAAAGAATTGATTACTTCAATCACAAAAGAGTCTCACAAAGAGGAAGAAAATAATCCATACATGGTTGCCTCGCATAAACCCACAAATCACATAGGCTCACAAAAATAAAGGAAAAATATGCCACTCCTCTTTTTTCTCACTAACACTCTCTAACACCACTTAAAAAGCAAAATGAGTATGTCATAGATCTCAACCCAATATGCATAGAAACACATTACACAAAGTAATAAGATCACTCTAATTCATGCAATTACACACATCAAACATATTGAAACTGTAACATATCAACATTGCAATGGAATTAAGTGATCACACATGCATAAAAACATTACACATAGATACACATGCAATAATCAGGTTTACTCTGAATACACCTCACACAGGTTATAACTCAACCCAATGGCAACATCCGCCTCACCTTTCTTTTTATCTTTCCTTTTATTATCATTCTTAGGACAATCTATTTCACAATATCCAAATTTACCGCAGTTAAAACACGTCATACTTTTCGTACTTGCCTTTTATCTATATTTACCAGCAAAAGTTTCAAGAAAAACCTTTCGTTTTACCAAATTGAATCACATTTTTTTATTAGAAAAATACAACTCAAAATGCGTTATCATTTTACCAAAAAAATGCACACAAAACATAAAATGCAACAAGTAACGATCACAAGCAAAGTATCGACACAATTCACACAGAATAGTCAAATAAACTTTTCTAAGGTCACGTGCAGTTCTAATAATGAAAATTTAATTGATAACAAATTCACAAAGAATACAAGGAAAATAATTAACGAGTAATTCACATGTCTAGCAACAGGCAATAGTTACCCCTTCACGGTAACCTCAATCCTAATGTCATCCCACACTATAACTTCTAATGCGAAAAGAAATGATTATACTATACAATAGTCTTAATTACAACAATAAAATGAAAAGAACACGATGTTAGAGTGGACTACGTCTGAAGGTCCGTAAATATCGAGAGATACAAATTCATCGTATTAGGACCTCCGTTGTTCACCTTAAAGCTTCTAGCAACCACAGCAACACAAAACGGCACCCGACACCTAGACGTTGAAGGGCAAAATCTTCCAATTTTCACCGTATTGCCTGAAACTGAAATCCAACGACACCGCAGGGCCCATCTCGACATCTAGAACAATGTCTAAAGACGACATCGCTGGACTCCGACCTACGTGCCTGTACGGGCCACCACCGGCCACCATGCGCACCACCCCTAACTGCGCCTCCATCTGCTGAGTCCACCGATAGTCTCCGTTTCTCCAACCGGACACTGGTTTGACCAGAAAACGTATTTGTAGGTCCAACCAAAAAAAATAAAAACTAGAAGTTTCTGTCTTGTTTTCGCTCCCTTTTTGGCCATTTCCAGTTGGTTTTGGCAGCCAAAAATCAGAAATTTCTTAATACAACATGCTTTGATACCATTTGTTGTTAAAGTCCAAGATAAATCTTGATCTGGGTTCAATTCAATCAACCAAGCAAACACCAATTGAGTAGGCTCTGATCCACAACTTTAACACTCCCGTTGTTACTAGTTTTCACCCCCACGAAGGATGAAGATGGTGATAGATGTGCAATTTAACACTCAAATGAACCACCAAGAACGGCTACCTTACAATTTTCTCCTCTATTGCACGCTCACACTACACGACGATGACGACGACTACACCACATATGGATTGGTTAATTAGGTCATCAAATATGGGCCAAGTCAAGTCGACAAACCAAATTATTGGGTCTCCAACAAAGGGGTAATGTTAAGAATAAATGGGCCAACTAATATTACCATCCAACTCAATAACTTGAGTCATCCACGAGTGTTGGGTCACGAGCAACATTAACTCAATTAAGTTGCTTCTAGTGGTCTCAAGTTTGGTCTCAAGTTATTTTCGGGTCGACCCATCACAAAGGTGTTAATATAAATTATCCAACATCGGTTTAACATTATCGCCCGAGATTTATTGGCTATTAAAACCCAACAAGATTTATGTAATTTATTTACACTCATTTTCAACTACACATTTTTCAATAGAATAATTTTACATGTAAACTCAAAACTTTTTCTTATTTTTTAATCACACATTCTCCGAAAAACTATTATACCAAAACCTATTTTTCCCCCAAAAAAAATGAGGCTCAAACAGGGGTGAAATCGTATGAGCGTCAAGCCAGTATGCTTCAACTCTTTAAATGGCCATCTACAAATTTTAAATTGTCAATAATTTACTATATTTTGATTATTTTCTAATAGTGGCAAGTAATTTTAAAAGAAAATTAACTACAAATTTGTATCAATTTCATAATTTGAGCTAAAAAAGACAAATTATATTCTTATATTCCATATTCAAAATCAACTGAATCTACCTGCAACAGATATTTCAGGAACAATTTTGACTAGTGTGTTCATAAATCAAGAATGGACCAATAGTTCAATCCCACTTTTTAATAGAATTTTCTTGAATACTAGTGTGGTTTACGTGCGTTGCACGTTAGTTATTTAATGTTGAAAATAAATATATGTAAATTTTAGAGAAATTCATTTGTAAACATGAAAGATATTCAGTAGGTAAAAAAAATTTGTCATGTTCGAGCATGTGATGCGGTCTGCAGGCTTTTAGTTGGTGAAGAGAAAGAAAGAAAGTTATTTAAAAGAAGATTTCTATAGGTTGAACACAGAAGATTATGGGAGGTTGGATTTTAAGACCACTACTTTTTTGCTTGATGATTTGAGGCAGGGAGGCATGTGGCTAAGGTGGTGGAATGGTGGGACATGACATGTTCTGTGGGCATTAAGGTAGCAAAGGAAAAAAAAATGCAGTGGTGAACGTGAACATGAGAAATTGTATTGACGAGTTGGAATTCGGTGCAACTGATAAAGGCAATGTTAGCACAAATGCATATCAAAATCACCAGTTCACCACTTACAAGTGCATTCATATGCACTTATGCTAACATTGCCTTTCCAGTTAATTCGGTTAACTGAAAAGCCTTATGACATATAACTATAAACCAAAGTATTTATTTAACTATAAATTATATATTTCATAGTTGTTCATTAGTTTAGTCTTTAAACATAAAACAAGAAGCACTATTGTATATAAAAGATTTCCTACCAACCCTCACTAAAAAAGAAGAAAAAAATTATTTATCCTTACATACAACCTTAGCAAGAGAATGTACGCCAATATCCAAGCCTTCAAGGAAATTAGTTTCCTCAACAGTAGTCGACTCACAGTATGTTGCTCTCCTTGTTACCTGTAGAAGAAGAAAGAACAATAATTTTTTTATATATATAAAAAAAGGGGTTTAGTTGATTAGTAAGGTGAACGTGAGTTGATTAATGAACTTTTGCTTACATCAAATGAAAATGAACTTTTCTTTCCATCCAATCCCAAGTACTGTAGTCCTCCTCCCAATTTCCACATACAACGAAATTTAAGACAACCTAAAAAACAAAAATAAGTAAATGCATTCAAACAACACCCAGATCATAAATTAATATATGAGCAATTTGAGAAACTCAAATGCATCTATATTTGACAATAACTTGAATAGTTTAAAATTCCACTTTGTCTATCAATCCCTCCAACCACCTAAAAAACAGTGAAGCAAATGAAGTACTTCTCAAAAAAAAAAAAACATTGTTGATTACCTTGGTTTCTTCTATTGTGGCAAGTTTTTGTACATTTTGATCAATTACATTTTTTTTTTGGTCATGGAACTTTTTATGGTTCATGATTTACACAAGACAAGAAGGAAACCTACATCAAGACAAAAGGAAAAAATGTTATTAGTAGTAAAAAAAAAAAAGACAAGAAGGAAGTCTACATCAAGACAAAAGGAAAAAATGTTATTAAAAAAAAAAATCACGTGCGCGCGCGGGGGCACCTCCATCCAGGATGGAGACATCGCCATGCCTCCATCCAC